TCTTGGGATAACTTGATTGACAGTTGACCTAAGAATATGTGTAATGAATGGGGGATAAAATTGGGGTATGGTTTTCAGAAGGAGGGATATGGATGTTGGGCAGAACAAACTGTAGGTGAGCATTCTATTTGGCCACTGAAGTGGTGTGAAAATAATAATAACAGTTGATACATATCATATATTTTCAACTCTTTACTATGTGTCAAATACTGTTCTGGGTCCCTTCTACCTGATTCGCTAATCCTTACCACATTCCATGAGGCGTGTCTTATTTTCATGCCATTGATTAAGATGATGAGATTCAGAGACATTAAGTAACTTTCTGAAAGTCACGTAGTTGGGGATTCACACCCGGTTGACTATGTCTAGTCCTTTGAGGCCCTGACCCTCACTCTCTCTGGACTCAAGTGCTTCCTCATAAGGTTGTTGTAAGAACTAAGTGAGGTAAGGAGAGCACTGAGCCCATGGTGGCTACTTTATGCCCAGCCACATTGGTCAAAGTGGGTCTGATTGGGACTTACTAGGTTTTCTCCATACGTGGGGAACGGGAGAGAACAATGAAAGCTGTTTTGTCTTTGGATATCCAAGGAAACTTCTAACATAACAGGAGGGAAATCTCAACATCTGGAGGCCAGAGTGGAACTATGTTACAAATTATCTACCTCTGCATGCTGTTTGTCACTTCTCTTTCCAGCCAAAGTGCAAAATGAAAATATCCTGTGGGCATTTCCTTTTCAGAACTGTGGGACCCAGAAAGGCCAGAGAAAACAGATGCTAAAGCTTTATTGCAGATGATCCTGAAAACCAAACTTTATGCTTTTCCTGATGGTAGAAGTAATATATGTCCTTTGAGCACAAATGAGAAAGTACAAAAAAACAAAGAAGAATAAACACTGACTTTTACCGATGACTTACCAGTGTACCAGTGGGCGGTTATCTTTGTAGACTTTTATTTTGTCCTCATGATAGTCCCAGGGGGGAGGTGTTATTACCACCTCCATTTTATAGGTGAGAAAACTGAGAAGTGAGAGTCCGAGTAATTTCCCAGTAACTCAGTAAGAGGGGAGCTGACATTCACATCCCAGCTCTGACTCTCCACCCCTGACCATGCAGATTGCGAGTTAACAAAGAAAGCAGCAAGTGTGTCTTTTTTTCATGCTCCATTTCATAAAATGATACAGACACTTTTATATGAGCAACCCTGAAAACATTTTTCAAAAATACAAATGTGTCCCAGATTGTCTTGTTCATAAAGAGACTGGGGCACTTTTTGCTGGGATCATAGCCTCCGAAATGTGTGTTTTGAACAACATGGCAGCCATCTGTGCTGGGTGGGGTCGGGACTCCTACAACATGCAAGTGTGAAAACAGCAACAGTTGCTGTGACAAACTGAGCAACATATAGGAAAGGGAGCTATTTTCCCAAACATATCATAGCTACAATCATTTTTCTCAGGAAAACCTTCACAACATATACTTTTTTCCTTTGCCAAAAGCCCTAACATGTTCTAACACCTTTTCTACTTCTAATTAAGTGAGTCCAAGTGTTCTCAGCCACCTCTGCTGCTTTCTCCCTTGTTTACCAGCAACACCCTACAGGAGCCATTTTCTCTGCTCAGTCTGGGCCACAGAGACCAGGATTTGAGCCCTGTCTCTCCCCCTAGCTAGCCTTGGGCCTGTGGGCTGTTGCCTTCACTGTTGAGCTACTGTTTGTCTCATACAATCAACATAGCTACAAGAGAGAAATTTGTTTTCATCACAAAGAAATGATAAAGAGTTTGAGATGATGGGTAACCTAAGTGTCCTGAGTTGATAAATACACAATGCATAATTGGACTAAAACATCACACAGCACCCCCACAAACATGCACATGTCAGCTTTTTAAAAAGCCCAGATAATAAAGCTTGTTGCTCACAGGTTATAGAGAATTCATGATTGTATATGAAGAGCTTGGCATGGTTACCTCAGTCAAAACAGGCAACAGCTTCCAGAACTGTGGCCTATGTTCCCTGGAATGGAGTCAAGGGGAGGAGCTGACTGAAGAGAAAACTGAGGGAAGGGGGAGGCTGAGGACATATGGGGAGCAGGGAAGGGCTAGACTGGGTGGATGAGACAGAAAAGACCCTCGGGGGTAGGATGAATCCAAGGAAGACTTTTTTCTTTAATTTTTTTTTTTTTACTTTTAATTGACACATAATAATGGCACATACTTATGGGCATGGTGATGTATATATATATACATTGTGAAATGATCCAACCAAGCTAATTAATATATCCATCACCTCAAACTTTTGTAATTTCTTTGTGATGAGAGGATTTAAAATCTTGTCACTTAACTATTTTGAAATACACAGTACATTATTGTTAATTACATTTATCCTTTGGGTTTGTCAGTGAGTATGAAGTTACAGTTAAATAAGAGGAATAAGTTCTGGTGTTCTGGGAAACACTTTTAGAGCATTTGCTGTGAGTATGGAATAGAAAAGCCTTCTCTTTTCTCCCTGGAGGGTCTTCTACAAATTCTGCTCTGTGTACAGAGGCCGTGAGAGAGTGGACTTATCTGGAGGTGCCCGGAAATGAGGGGAATGGCCATAGCTCCTATAGGAGTAGGTGATTGATTCAAGTTCCAGACTGGAGCAGGATGTGCCTGGAGCTGCAGGGAGCTGCCCCAGTTTCTGTGTGAAAAGTGGCCCGGGATCTGCACTTTGCTCTGGGTACCAGATGATTTCATCTTGCTGAGCACCCACTGTTGTGTTTAGTGATGGATTTAGTGAAAAACATTTCGGTTCTAAATAATAGGAAATTTAATTCATTCTAACCTAAGAAAAGTTATGGCCTGGGGAAGGTGGTGCTTTGATTGGCCAGACACGAGTCTCAGCAGCAGCAGAGCTGGGCATGGAGTCCCAGGGACCATGTACACTGAGTACACCACTGTCCACCACAGTGGTCAAAGGATAGAACCGAGTCTCCCCATACCACAATCACAGAGATTTTCCAGCTAGCAGGACCCAATGGGGGCAGTTTCTTCCAACGGGTCATCAGATCCCCAAGGAAGATACTGAGAAGCTGTAAGCAACAATGTGAACTACACACTCTCCCCCCAAGGCATTTAGACACTTCCCAACATGCTTTTTGAATCAAGAATGCCTGCTGCCCCTCAAGCAAGTATAGGGTATCTGTTCAGGCCAGCAGGGTGGAATATTGATTGCCTTCAGGTGTTGATCCATTTGATTGTGGAGAATTGATAGGCAACACATGCTGTGATAGGCTCTGGGGAAGAGGCACAAGGATGTAAAAGATGACTTGAATGCTGCTTTGAGGTGCTCTCTGACCCTCCCAGGAGATAGACACACAAATGCAAAGTGGTAGGCATTCACTCAGCCTATGTAGCATGAGGGCTGCAGGAGACCAGAGGAGGAGCCCACCATTCTGTTGGGGGAGATAGGCTGAAGAAAGATGACACCAAGAGAAGTTTGAGTTGGGCAGCATCTTACCTGGTGAAGCTGGGATGATGGGAGGGCAAAGACCTGTACATGTATAGGGTCCAGCTGCTGGTCTCTTAGAGCTGTGGGGTGGGCAGTGGGCCAGTGAAGCCAGATCATAAAGAGTCCTTTCTTTATAGCCAACTGAAGAGTTTAGACCTGATTCTAAAGCCACTTAGGGATGTCTTGGTCAAGGTCTATCATTGTGGGCATTAAAGTCGACTCTGGCTGAGACAGGTCAAAAGGGAGTTGTTTGAAAGGAAACCAGGAGAATCAATTACCAAGAAATCTGGAGAAAGAAGCTGAATAAGAGACAGGGACAAGGAGAAGCTCTGAAGCCAGAGGGACAGCCCAAGTCACACCACAAAGTCAGGCCTGGGATGAGCCTACAGACATGACTATCAAGGTCAAACATGGCAGCTTGCACCATGGACCATGGTGGGACATCAAGGTCATAGCATGCATGGTTGGTATGCTTTCCCAGGCTACACCCAGAAACCAAGCATAACTGTCACTGCCAGAATCACAGATTGCATCATCCATTCTTTCATTGTCCTCATGCCACAAGTCCCAAAGACAAGGTGTAGGGCAGGTGCACCCAACTGACCAAGTAGGCCATTTGCTCCTGTCACTCAAGACTCTGCTTCTACCAAGATGCATAATGTGAGGAGGTCTCCACATATAACATGATGACAGGAAGCTAAAAAAGATTATTTTAGCAATCCTGTGGAGAGTGGTTCACAAGAGACCACAGAGACTGAATCACAAGCTAGGAATTGAGTGAAATAGTTCAGGTAGGAGATGTTGCAATTCCAACCTAGTGCAGAAGCATGGTATTATCAAGTGCTGTAGTTTGGATCTGAAGTGACTTTTAAAGGTCCATTTATTAAGGGCTTGAACCCTACAGAGGTGTTATTGGAAGGTATGGAAGGTAATTAAGTCTTTAAGAGGTGGAGCTTAGTGGCAGGTGTTCTAGTCATTGGGGATGTGGGACCAAAGTCCCTTTCTCCTCCTTTCTTTTGTTCTCTGGCCTTGAGATGAATGATTGGCTCTGTCACGCACCCTCACCACGGTGTGCTGCCTTGCCACAGGCCTAAAAGCAATGAGGCCAATTGATCAGAGCCTACAGCTCCAAAATTGTGAGCCCAAATAAACCCTTTCTCTTTGTGAGCTGATTATCTTGCCTATTTGATATTGTGATGGAAAGCTGGCTAAAACATTGAGGGAAGGACAGATTGGTGATCTTTCAGGAGGAATAATATGGTAAAGGAGTAATTGTGGCTGTCCCCAACTTTCCAAACTAGGTAGATCATTGATCATAACTTTAATTAATGTGGGGGTTGTAGTTGGGAAAAAGAGCATTGGAGAGAAGATGTATTGGTTTTACTATGAGTCGTCTGTGAGTCAACTGTTGTTTGTGGCTACTCAGCCTCTCTTCTTTCTTACTCTGGAAACAGATCCACCATTCATTTTCTCCTGGAAAACTAATTCCTTTCCCACTGTCAATTCTGTTGGTTCTAATAGGATTGAGTTTCCATCCTCTCTACCCCAGAAGTGAACATGTGGTTCAGACCTGGCCAACTCAGGTCACAGAGATTGGTCTTAAGTGGACACAGGACTGATCCAATCTGAGCTGATAAAAATCAGGCTGTGCTTTTATTGGCACTCTTGGGAAGAAAAGCTATTCTTTCTATTCAGGTTTCTCAGCCAGTGAAATGTCAGCCTGGGCATGCTGGTGGCTGTCTTGTCACTACTTGGGGTGAGCTTGCCTGAGAACAAAGTCAATGCTGAGGACAGCAAACAAGCAGCGGAGACAGAGCCCTGCTATTGCTTATTGATCTCTTGTGTTCAGTTATGCTAGAAACTGGACTTTTCAGTTATACTAATCAATATATTTTTTATTTCTTGAAGCCAATTGCAGTGGGCCTAACCCATTTGAAGAGGAAAATTTCCTGACTTGGCCATTGAGATTTGGAATTTTGTGCTTTACAAAGGAGTCAGGGCTAGAGAAAGATCTCGGGAAGTTAGAGCTGAAACTGTGGGTGTGACCTCAGGATGTACGGGGGAGAAAGTGGTTGTGGAAAGACCCACAAGATGGGCCAATATTTGGGAAATACATCCAGAAACACCTCTAACTTCAAAGCACTGAAACCTTCTTATAAAGTCCTGGAAACTTCTTATAAAGGGCTAATGTTTGTAGCAAATTGAGAGAAACATTAAAATAGTTAAAAACGGTAAGGTTCTATTGGATGTTTTGGGAGCATTTTACAGAAAAAGGGAGAATAGATGACTCTTTAGAGACAGTTTCCAGAGTACCTCTACTCAAATGCCACTGTGCTGCCTAGATTTAGTGCTTCTCTGCTGCTTTCTTCAGAAAGTACAGCAATCAACAAGTAGTTTGGATATTTTTCCATTGTGAGTTGAGGCATCGAACTCATTTAACCCATCTTCCCAGTGATGCTGAGTGAATATTTAAATGACTGGCACATTTTGGGGGGTGTACTGGGATTAAATTTAACCACCGAGCCACATACCCACCCTTTTTATATTTCATTTTGAGGCAAGTTCTTGCTGAGTTGCTTAGGGCCTTGCTAAGTTGCTGAGGCTGGCTTTGAACTTGCAATCCTTCTGTCTCAGCCTCCTGAGACTAGCACATTTAAGTTTTTCCCACACTTTTTATTGGTTAATTTTAGTTGTACATATTGATGGGATTTACGGTTACATATTCGTACATGCACACAATATAACACCATAATTTAGGAGATGGTCATATTTTAAAAATAAGAATTAATCAACTCTTGGAGTTGCTCTGAGCCTCTTTTGGTGTTATTTAGGCTCTTGCTTAAATTTTGTTCATTTTTGGAATAGTTGCATGAACCTGGTTTGTTTTATATGGGTACTATAGCTGGATTATGTTTATTGTTGTTGAGGTAGAATCCCAGAAGTTTAGTGTTGAGAAAGTTGCAAAAATAGCTCTAGCCCCATTCTAACAACTAAAGGGGATAGAACAAGAAAATTTAGACTTGGGGTCCTAAGCTTGGACATGGACTCTACCCGCAAGCTTGGCCACTTTTTACCTAAATGTGCCAGCCTCAGTAAGTACCTCACCTCCACTAAAGCTCAGTTTCTTCATCTGCTATATGAAGAAAACATTGCATGGGGCTGTGTAAGGCTCTTGCAAGGGTTCAATGGCATTAGCCACATCAGGTGATCACATCAGCTTATGTATAATAGGCAAGGGTTGATAATTGATAGACATCACAGTAGAGGAGTTCACTTCTTGGCTTTGACAATTTTTTATTGTATACTAACAAAGTTCCCTGTGCTCACTGTAAAGATTTCAAACTATATAGAAGTATATAAAATAGAAAGGAAAGTTTCTCTACTGCTCTCCTATTTCTTTAATTTGTTCTTGGATAACTCTGGCAATAACATTCTTTCTGATATATTTTTCCTTGTGCAAACGTGTGTACATTCACTACATACAAACTGTTAATGTATTTGGGAACCAGTACACAAAAATGGGTTGTTTTAGTTAGGTTTTTTTGTTATGACCAAAAGACCTAACAAGAACAATCTAAAGGAGAAAAAGCTTATTTTAGTCCATGATTTCAGAGGTTCAGTCTATAGTCAGCCGACTCTATCGTTAGGTCCAAAATGAGGCAGAACATCATGGCGGAAGGGCATGGCAAAGGAAAGCAGCTCAGGACATGACAGCCAGGAAGCAGAGAGAGCCCTGCTCATCAAGAACAAAATATAAACTTCAAAGTCACGCCCCCAGTGACCTACTTCTTCCAACCACACCTATCCGCCTATAATTACCAGTGAGTTAACTCGTATCCATGTATTAATGCACTGATTAGGTATCAAAAAGGAATCCCTTATTCTTTAGCCATCACCTCTGAGTCCCCCTTCTGTTAGCCCTATAAAATTACTTTCTGTCTCTGCATATTTGCCTATTTGGACATTTAATATGAATGGATTCATATGATATGTGGCCTTTTATAATTGGCTTCCTTGACTTACCATAATGTTTTCACGGTTCATTCCTGTTGTTGCATGTATCAGATATTTGTTCCTTTTTGTTCTAGAGTAGTATTCCATTGTAAGGAGACACCACATTTTGCTTTTTCGTTCATCAGTTGATGAACATTTGGGTTATTTCCAACTTTTGGCTATTATAAATAAATGCTGCTTTAAGCATTTATGAACAACCTTTTGCATCAATACATTTTCTTTTTCTCTTGGGCATATAACTAGGAATAGAATTGTTGGGTCATATGGTAATTGTATATATTCCTTTTATAGGAACTGCCAGACTGATTTCCCAAATAGCTGCCCAATTAATAGTCCCACCAGCAATGAGTGTATAAGGGTTCTGATTTTTTTCACAGACTCAACAACATGTGTTGACTGTATTTGTCAGTTTTGCATTACTACAATGAAATACTTGAGGTAACTAAGATACTTAGAGAAAAGGTTTATTTAGCCCAAGTTTTGGAGGTTAAAAATCCAAACAGCATAGCACAGGTTGGGCAAGGGCCACCCTCTGACTGCATCACCTTATGGCACATGGTATGGCAACGGTAAGAGTGTGTGTCAGAAGCAAGCAATTACATCTCTATAAGGGCAGTTGAAAGAACCACCAAGGAGTACCTTCTGAGGGCAAACATACAGTCATCTAAGGACTTCATTAGACTCCACTTATCAAAGATTCTATAGAGCACTTCCCAATAGCATCACCCTGGACACAAGACTTCAATCTGGGAGTTACTCAGACCATACCAAACCAAAGCATTGACTGTTTTTGGTAAAAGTCATCTTAATGGTGTAAAATGGTATGTCATCGTGATTCTTGTCTGCATTTCTCTGTTGACTAATGTAGTTGAGCATCTTTTCATGGGGCCTAATATATATATATATATATATATATTTTTTTTTTTTTTTCTTTTTTAAGAAATACCTATTCAGATCTTTTCCCCATATTAAAATTGTGTTTTGTCTTTTTGTTATTTAGTTGTAAATGTTCTTTTTATATTCTAGATACAAGTACTTTATCAGATAATATGATTTGCAAGATTTTTCTCACATTTTTTGAGTTTTTACTTTCTTAATGATGTCCTTTTAAGGACTGCCGCAGTCTGGCTGGGCACAAATGCCGCAGTCTGGCTGGGCACAAAATCACGAGCCACCACACAGCTTGTAGATTCAAACAGCAACTCTTTATTCCCGAACTCACACCAGCCGTCTACAAACACGTTCTGGGGAAATCCACGTTCTCTGCCCAAATCCACCTCCACTGGGCTTCTATCTCCCAAAAAAATACTGTCTGAATCCCGTGAGAACTCAAGGGGAACTCAGGCAGCAGGATATGCCCTATTCCCAGCAGGAATAATCTTAAACCTGGAACGCCCTAAACCCGATTATCCTAAACCGGGAACACCCTAATCCCGGATCCGCCCTGGTCCTTGAGCAAGGTCACCTAACTGCAATGTCACTGCAAAATGTCCTATTTCCACGAGTCCTTCCACTAAGCAACATGGGGTACGCTGGCAAGGAAATTGTCATACCTACTTGGCTAATGGCTCCCAGCAAAGGACAAGTCTTTTTTTTTTCATTTTGATAAAGTCCAATATATATATTTTTATTTTTACTGCTTATACTTTGGGTGTCATATCTAAAAAAAAACTATGGCCAAATATCAGATTATAAAGATTACTCCTAAGGTTTCTTTAAGGGGTTTTATGGTTTGGGCTTATATGTATAGATCTTTCATCCACTTTGAGTTGACTTTTGTATCTGGTATGAGGTAGAGGTCCACCTTCAGTTTTTTGCATGTGACTATACAGCTGTTTGAGCATCTTTTCTTGAGCCAAGTGAATTTTGAATATATATTTTTTCCAAATACTGAATTCTCTCTTTAGTTCAACACTCTTTCAGTTGCTTCTTGGTCTTCATGTCTTCAATGACCCTCTGCTATGCTAGAATCTGGTTTCTCTGTCAAGCTAAACCCAGATGCTTAATTTTTCACATTACTTTTTAATAGCAATATATGTACAATTTTAAATTTAAACACAAACTTAAAAGATAAAAGTGGTGTAGAGTTAAAGGTCTCCCTTTCATTGCTGTCCCACAGCCACCCTAGGTCTCCCTCTTTGGAGGTAGCTACCCCCTGTTTTTTGATATTTTATAGAGATCTAGCTTATATACATATGTTCTTTCTCATTTTTGCATAAACTGTAACATAATATAGATATACTTTACTATGCTCAGGTTTTTTTTTTCTTTTTACTTAAAGCAATGTATTTTGGAGATCTTTCCATAACCATACTCCAAAGGTCTCTCATTCTTTTGACTGGACATGTTGACTTCATTGCATGAATGAAGCAGAGTTTATTTAATTGGTCTCTTGTTCATGGATATAGGGCAGCTTCCTTTCATTATTACAAGCCAGGCTCTAAAGAGTTTCTTTTTTCCTATGTAAATAAGTATATGTAGATGTAGAGCTTTAGGATAAGTCGCTTAAGGTGAATAATACTTAATCAAGAGATACATGCTTATAAAAAAGAGATACATGCTTTAAATTTTTTGGCAAATAATGCTAGATGGCTCTGCAGACATTTTATCAACTTATACCACTCCTACTGACTCAGGAATGCTTGTTTCCCACATCCTCACCAACAGAGAGTATTGTCACTTTTTGATTTAGTATCTCAGTTTCAATTTGCATTGATCTGATTATAAGTGAAGTTAAACACTTTTTTCCTGT